GGAAAGAGAAGTCGGGGCTGAATGCCCTGTGTGCCGGGGTTCCTGAGAGCCACCCCAGGCACTGAGCCCTCGGGGCTCTCCAATCAGAGCCCATGTGGGTCAGCGTCAGGGAGAAGAGGTGCCTTGAGCTGGCTCCGAACAGAGAACAACAGGCAGAGAAGGTCCAAGGGCTGTGTAGCTCACACCTGCTGCAGAGGCTGAGCCCTTCCAGAGAAGTAACACCCCTGGCCTGGTCCTTCTGAGCCCCTGCAGTGCTAGGACCCTTCCCCATTTACCAACACTGAGTGAGGCAGGCCTGAGCTGGGCCAGAGGTGCTCACACTCCCTCTAGGTCTCAGCTCGAATGATGCCTCCTCCAGGAAGGCCTCCCTGACTCACCCTGGGCCCTGAGCTTACCCTGTGAGGGCGCATATCCCAGTTATTGTCACACTCACCCAGTCATCCCCCCGACTGGACGGTAAGCTCCACGACACATAGCGGGTCCCTCAGTGTGTGGTGTGGTGGACACACGCTGTACGTGAGGGTTAAGTGCTCCACAGGTGTGAGCCGTTATGACACTTTTCCTCCACCAGAGGCTGACCACGTTGTGTGTCAAGGATGAACGTCATATAAAAATGTTAGGTGTGTAAAGGCTGTGAACCTGCCGCTCCAGAGGCCCTAAACGAGCTTTATCTAAAAGTCTCTGCTTCCCTTTGGGGAAGTTTTGAGAGGGAGTAAACCGCCTATGGACTTATTAGAAAATCCTCATTACTGCCCCTGGGGATGGGGAAGGGCAAAGCCCGAGAAGAAAGAAGCTGAAGCAGAAAAGCAGTCTTGGACCTCAGCGGCATAAATCCCATCGTCCATCCATCCATCCAGTCATCCAATCATTTATTCCTCCATCCATCCATCATCCATTCATCCGTCCACCCACCCATCCATCATCCATCTATCCATCCATCCATCCAATCATCCATCTATTTATTCTTCCCCTCACTCACCCATCATCCATCCATCCTCCCATCCCTCCAACCATTCATCCATCATCCGTCTATCATCCATCCATCCCTCCCTCCCTCAGGGAGCCACAGAAGCTGCTCCAGGGCACCCACCAGGGCTTGGCAAGCAGGAACTCTTGTCTGAAACGGCAGAGCCAGGACCCATATCAAGGGCAGAGGGTTTCATTTCATACCATATGCACACTCCGGGTGCCAAGGGGCCGTGGCTGGGTAGCTCGTAGGGAGCGTATTTTCTTCCAAACTAATCACATGCGCCTTTGCATCATAAACTTCTGAATGTTCATTCAGCGGCAGAGCCGTGAGGAAAGGCGGGGCACCAGGCACAGGAGGTGGGCAGATCCAGGCACTTTGGCAGTAATGTGAGTTTTGCAGACCCAGAATCCCAGTGTCACCCAAGGGAGCATCACAAGTGGCAAGTCTGAAGATGCCACCCGAGCAGTGGTTTTCCCGTTGCCTCCTAAATGTTTACTAGAGCCCATCGGGCTCTGCCCACCAGCCCCTCCCCACTCTCATCCCACACCCGCTGCCCACTCTGGGCTTTGGCTCCCCCACCCCCCCACCACAGGGCCTTTGCACATGCTGTTCCCGCTGCCCAGGATGCTCTTCCCTCTCCTGTTCACCCTTCTGGTCTTAGCTGAAAGCCCCTTTCTCAGGGACCAGATTCCCAGGTGCTGCCCCTCCCCAGCACCTGTCCCAGTTGCGATGTTGCCTTGATGTGGGGCATGGTTTGGTGAGGTCTCCCTCCCTCACTGGACAGTCCTCTCTGCAACGGCAGGGCTGTGAGTGATGACCTCGTACCCCAGCACCTGGCACGTAGCAGATGCTCAATAAATTCGTGTTGTGTGAATGAGCTGGTGAATCAGGTGTCATCTGGTCCCACTCTCTTGACGTAACAGGGAGAGGAGCCCCCTGGGAGCATGTTTGCTCACAGCCATGTGGCACATCAGCGGTAAGGCCCGGCCCCTCCTGGGCACTCTGTCCTCCCAGGACCGAATTTCCCAGCAAAGCCACAAAATTCCGACTGACTACTTCAATCCTCCCCTCAGCAACAACAGCTGTTACCATTATTGTAAGAATACGAGCGGACCAAGGAAACGTCCAGTGACAGAAGCAGGTCCTGCCATTACTGGTCATTCCCTCCCCTGAGCCTCAGTTTTCCCATCTCCAAAATGGGGCAGAAAAAGCAAACAGGTGGAGTCGGGAAAAGGGAGGGAGTTGAAGAATGGAGTTCGCCAAGCCAAGAGCCACCTCTCGGCGGCGACAAGCAGGTCCGGCGGGGCAGCAGGGCCCGCCCCACCCCCGCCTGTCTGACTCGCTGTCTGGCCGCAGGTACCGGAAGGTGGTGTCCAACGTGTGCGAGGGCGGCGTGGACCCGCAGCAGAGCCCGGCGCAGCTGCAGTGCCCCCTCCTGCCGCCGCGGGGCCTGCAGGTCAGCATCCTCGGCGAGGCGGTGGCCGTGCGGCCCGGGGAGGACGTGCTGTTCGTGGTACGGCAGGAACAGGTGAGGGGCCGCTTCACCCGGGCACACGGGGCGCCGGGCAGCGCTCTGTCCGCCTCCACGTCGGTTAGGGCAGCGTCTTTGGACCAGCGGTTTCCGAACTGCGTGGGGGGGAAAGTGGGCCGGGGGGCCGGGGGGCCAGGGGGCCGGGGACCCCTTCCCAGGTCCAGACCAGCACTGAAACAATGAAACAGAAAAGTCGGAAGAGAGGGCAGAGGCAGGGAGGGAACGGAGCAGCGTGCAGAAAGCACAGGCCCAGGGGGGCGTGGCTACAAACATCCGTGTGTGTGTGTGTGTGTGTGTGTGTGTGTGTGTGTGTGTGTGTGTGTGTGTGTGTGTTCACCGCGCGGTGACGTCAGATTTCTTCCTTCCTGTGGGCCGCCTTAAAACTTTTTGAACCTCTCGTTATACTGAGTTAGTTAATTTTGGAATCATAAGAAAAGCAGGAAGCTTTTTTAAAAAAAAAAACTGTAAAAATAAATAAATAAATGCAATGATGCAAACAAAAAAACAAAAAAAACACCGTTACTTATAATCTCATAGCCAAAGACAAATTCCGTAATAGATGATAGATGGATGGATAGGTAAATGGAGAGACAGATATCGTTGATAAACAGATAGAGATAGATGATAGATTGATTGATAGATAATGGATAGACATAGGTACAAATACAGATGGATGGATATAGAAATATTTTGTGTCTGTATATTTATATATACACACACATATATACATACACACAAATATATATATATACACATACCTATATATAAATATATAAATTTCCTCCCCACCTCCTAGTCTTTCTTTTTTTTCTTTAGTACAAGTGTTATATTTTTTTTCTGATTTTAAAAACAGTATATACTCATTGTAGAATGTTGGAAAACCACATTAAAAACATAAGAATATATCACCAAAAATCCTGTTCTCCTAAGGTAGCCACTGTTAATTTTTTTTATTTCCTTCTAGTCTATTTAAACTAATATGCAGCATATGCTTATTTTTCTGATTATAGAAGTAACAAACACTCATTGTACAACATTCAAAAGCAGAACGTAGAAAAACTTACAAACGTTCAGGAAATTCAAAATGACAGAAAAGCACAAAGGGGACGTCAGAACCCCCTGTTCCCACCCCAGGGTCCCAGCCTCTCCCGGCACGTGGCTCTCTTGCGCATTTGGGTCTTCGGTTAACAAATACGTAGCGTGAAATGAGTGGGGCTTTGTAACTGCGTGTGCTTCGTTTAGAAGATGTCCTTCAAAATGTGCCCAGGTGGGGCAGGGTGATGCTGACAGAGGTCTTTGAAGTTGGAAAGCGGGGGCTCTGGTCCAGAGCAAAGAGCTGTACTCGTGGGCACCCGTGTGTCATCCCTCCCCATGCCTAAGGGCTGTACTCCCATCAGCTGGTTTTGTAGCTGGGGACACCCAGCCTCAGACAGGGGCAGCCACTCACCTGAGGCCACACAGTGACAGTGACCGAGCTGCCGTTGGGTCCAGGCCTGGGGCTCCGTGTGGACAGTGGCTGGTTCACAAACCCCAGCAAGGAGCTGATCCTGGGGTGGCCTCCCCTTCCCGCCTGTCCCTGTCCCCGTGATGACTGAGCCTGGTCCTGAGAGTAACGCTGCAGCCTCGGGCAGCCCTGGGGTGTTGGGGGACTCCATTCACAGCAGAGGAGGACGCAGGCCCCCGGCCCGGCTTGGGATCACCCGGACCCTCAGAGGGGACCCAGCTGCCTCCCGGAGCTCCAGGACAGATTTGCAAGAAAAACGGCCACCTGCTGCCCCCTAGAGCCTGGAGTCCCAGCAGCTAAGTCACACCTGCAGTGCTCCATCCAGAGCCTGGACAGGATACGCCTGGCAGCCCACCGCCCCAGCGGGCTGGCACTCTCGGCTGCAGCAGGCGGAGGTGAGGGGGCAACAGAAAGATGCTCCTGGGAGAGAGAGTCCAGAAGAGGCCGCTGGCTCCCATGTTGGAGCCTTGGGAAGGAGTGGGTGCAGGGCTGAGGTGGGTACACACACTGTGGCACACTCGTTCTCTCACACACGGACACTCACACACACACATACATGTTCACGCATTCACATCCGTAACACAACCACAGACGCACACACCCAACCCAGGTGTGGAAACAGTGCTGGATTTAGGGGGATCCAAGTTCTGTAAATATTTAAGCACTGAAAATAAATCTGATGAAGAACCCAGAAACAGACCCACACAAGCAGGCCCGACTGATTTTGGCCCAGGAACAAAAACATCTCAGTGGAGGGAGGATGGGCTTCAGCACATGAAGAGCCGGTAAAAATGAACCTCACACCCGATGCAGAATCACCTCAAAGTGGATCACAGACTTAAATAGAAAATGGAAAACTATAAACCTTTTAGAAAAAAGACAGAGGAAAATAGCCAGAACCTAGGGCTAGGCAGAGAGTTCTCAGACTTGACACCACAAGCCCCATTCATGAAGGAAATCTGATAAATTGGACTTCGTCAAAATGTGACATTTTGCTCTGCGACAGACCCTAAGAAGATGAAAAGCCAGCCACAGAAGGAAATATCTACAAACCACATCCAACAAGGACTAGTACCCAGAATACATGAAGAACCCTCAGAACTCAGCAGTAAGAAGACAAACAGTCCAGTCAGAAAATGGGCAAAAGACATGGAGAGACATTTCATTGACGAGGGTGTACAGATGGCAAATAAGCACATGAAACCATGTTCAGCATCATAAGCCATCAGGGAAATCCAAATCAAACCCTCAAAGAGGTGTCACTGCACACCTAAGGGAACGGCCAAACTAAAAAATAGCGACACCACCAAATGCAGGCGAGGATGCAGAGAAACTGGATCCCTCCTACGTGGCTGATGGGAACGTAAAATTTATAGCCATTCTGGAAAAGTCGGTCGTTTCTTTAAAAGCTAAACGTATTACACTCCTGAGAAATAAAGACTTACATTCACAGGGAAACCTATACATCAAGGTTCACAGTAGCTTTATTCATAACAGCCAGAATCTGCAGACAACCAGATGTCCTGGATGGACAAGTGGATAACACGTGGTGGCACGTCCATCCCGTGGGTGGTACTCCGAAATAAAAAGGAGCAGACTACACACCACAAGCTGGGTGAATCTCCGGAGAACTATACTGAATGCAAAAGCTAATCCCAATGACTCCATGCTTTCTGATTTCATTTATAGAACATTCTCAAAATGACAAAATTATAGAAATGGAGAACAGGTTCTAATCCCATGGAGTCAGGGATGTGATGGAAGAGTGGCAGGAGGGACCCCAGTGGTGACTGAATCAGTGTGGATTCCCTATTTGTGATATTGATGTTCTGCCGGATGTTAGCACAGGGGGAACTGGGTACCAGGGGACTCTCTGTATTGTCCGTTACAATTACATGTGAATTGGCAGTGGCTCAGCATGAAACATCTGAATGTTTTTGAAGCACTCAGTAATAAACACACACACATCTGCCTGGAAACACCACGGTGTGGGTGGCTGGTGTCGCAGTGATGTTACGTTTTTCCTTTCTAGCTCCTTCGCTTTGCCTTTTGTATTCTCTCCTTGTCCTACATTGATACTGTATTACTTTCCTGATTATGACGAGGTGTTTTAAACAAGGAAATGTTTCAATAGTTAAACTTGCACCTGTCTTAGTTGTTTGCAGGCAGGACTCAGGGTCCCCAGGAGGGGGTGGCACCTGCCCATCGAAGCCGCAGGTCCTGACTCAGCCAGAAGCACCTGCCTCTCCCAGGATACAATACAGGAAACCCCTCCCTCTCGGAACAAATCGGACTTGAGACACCCAGCCCCCATGAGACTGCCTTTAAACGGAGAGAGCACCGGCCCATGGGCCAGCCTGCAGGTTCTGGGCTCACAGAGCCTCAGTCTTCCAACCTATAAGATGGGGATAATAGAACGTACTTGTATAAGGTCCCTGAGGCCATCACAACAGTGGCCATAAACTGGGTGGCTTGAAACAACACACATTTCTCCTCTCACAGTTTTGGAGGCTAGAAGTCCAAAATCAAAGTGTCAGCAGACCTGGACTCCCTCTGGAGGATTTTTCCTTGTCTCTGCAGCTTCTGGGGGCCCCAGGCATCCCTGGGCTGTGGCCGCATTTCCTCCAGCCTCTGTCTTCACATAGGTTCCCCTGTGTCTCAAATCCCCTTCCTTTTTCTTATAAAGACCCCAGTCATTGGATTTAGGTCCTGTTCTAATCCAGTGTGACCTCATGTTAACTAATTACATCTGTAACACCCTATTTCCAAATAAGGTACATTCTGAGGTTTCAAGTGGACTGAATAGGAGAGGGGGCAGGGGTGGACACTATTCAACCTGTTACACCATATTTGTGAAGAAAGTTAGATGAACATAATTTACTTAAAAGTATTCTATCGAGTTTTAAGCCTTGGCAGGTGTAAAATAAGAGGATTGCTAAACAGTTAGTGATGATCTGCTTCGTTCTTGATCACTAGGAAATGGTTTTCTGGGTGTTCCTGCAGCAGGGGGAGGGGTGGCAGGAAGGGACGATGCGGGGTGGGAGGAGGGAGGGAGAACATGAGACTGAATATGAGAACTTGCCAGAAAGTTGAAAAAGTTATTGTTCCCTTCACTCAATTTCCTCCCCACGACTCTATGAGGAAAATACGGTTATTGGAAGGATAAGGCTCATGGCGGGGAGTATACGGATGATTGGACAGCTTGTGTGGGTGGGGAAACGCCTGGAAGAGGCAGCAGTGGGTGGGAGCCCCTTCCTGCACAGAGCCTGTGCAGGAGAGCCTGTGCATATGAGCATCACTCCTGGCACCGCATGGAGTGAGGGAATGAACGATTGAATGAATGAGTGAATGCCCCATTGCTGGCCCCCAGCTTTGCACCCACTCCTAAGTGGCTCTGTGGTGTTTCCTGCAGGGCGATGTCCTGACCACCAAGTACCAGGTGGACCTGGGGGACGGCTTCAAGGCCATGTACGTGAACCTCACGTTGACCGGGGAGCCCATCCGGCACCGCTATGAGAACCCTGGCATCTACCGCGTGTCTGTCAGGGCGGAGAACATGGCGGGACACGACGAAGCCGTGCTGTTTGTCCAGGTCAACTGTAAGTCCATCGTCCCTTTGAGGCCAAGTGTCTCTCCCTGTGACAGAGACCTGGTTCTTGGGGAAGCACGGGGAGCCCAAGGGCAGGGAGGCAGGCAGACTGGGCTCGAGTCCACACCCATGGTGGTCTGTGCAGCAGTGGGGATAGTGGTGATGGTGATGGTGATGATGATGGTAGTGGTGGTGATGGTGATGGTGATGGTGATGATGATGGTAGTGGTGGTGATGGTGATGGTGGTGGTGATGATGGTGATGATGGTGGTAGTGGTGGTGATGGTGATGGTGGTGGTGATGATGATGGTAGTGGTGGTGATGGTGGTGGTGATGGTGGTGGTGATGATGGTAGTAGTGGTGATGGTGGTGGTGATGGTGGTGATGATGATGGTAGTAGTGGTGATGGTGGTGGTGGTGATGGTGGTGGTGATGATGATGGTAGTGGTGGTGATGGTGATGGTGGCGGTGATGGTGGTGGTGATGATGGTGATGATGATGGTAGTGGTGGTGATGGTGATGGTGATGGTGGTGATGGTGATGCTAGTGGTGGTGATGGTGATGGTGGTGGTGATGGTGGTGGTGATGATGGTAGTGGTGGTGATGGTGGTGGTGATGGTGGTGGTGATGATGATGGTAGTGGTGGTGATGGTGATGGTGGTGGTGATGGTGGTGATGGTGGTGGTGGTGATGATGGTGATGGTGGTGATGATGGTGATGGTGTTGGTGATGGTGGTGATGGTGGTGGTGGTGATGGTGATGGTGGTGATGGTGGTGGTGGTGGTGATGATGGTGGTGGTGGTGATGGTAGTGGTGGTGATGGTGGTGGTGATGGTGGTGATGGTGGTGGTGATGATGGTAGTGGTGGTGATGGTGGTGGTAGTGATGGTGGTGGTGATGATGATGGTAGTGGTGGTGATGGTGGTGGTGATGGTGGTGATGGTGGTGGTGATGATGGTAGTGGTGGTGATGGTGGTGGTAGTGATGGTGGTGATGATGGTGATGGTGGTGATGATGGTGATGGTGTTGGTGATGGTGGTGATGGTGGTGGTGGTGATGGTGATGGTGGTGATGGTGGTGGTGGTGGTGATGATGGTGATGATGATGGTGGTGATGGTGATGGTGGTGGTGATGATGATGGTAGTGGTGGTGATGGTGGTGGTGATGGTGGTGATGGTGGTGGTGATGATGGTAGTGGTGGTGATGGTGGTGGTGATGGTGGTGATGGTGATGATGATGGTGATGGTGGTGGTCATGATGGTGATGGTGGTGGTGATGATGGTGATGATGGTGATGGTGGTGATGATGGTGGTGGTGGTGATGGTGGGGATGGTGATGGTGGTGGTGATGGTGATGGTGGGGGTGATGGTGATGATGATGGTGATGGTGGTGGTCATGATGGTGATGGTGGTGGTGATGATGGTGATGATGGTGATGGTGGTGATGATGGTGGTGGTGGTGATGGTGGGGATGGTGATGGTGGTGGTGATGGTGATGGTGGGGGTGATGGTGATGATGATGGTGATGGTGGTGGTCATGATGGTGATGGTGGTGGTGATGATGGTGATGATGGTGATGGTGGTGATGATGGTGGTGGTGGTGATGGTGGGGATGGTGATGGTGGTGGTGATGGTGATGGTGGGGGTGATGGTGATGATGATGGTGATGGTGGTGGTCATGATGGTGATGGTGGTGGTGATGGTGATGGTGGTGGTGGTGATGGTGATGGTGGTGGTGATGGTGGTGATGGTGATGATGATGGTGATGGTGGTGGTCATGATGGTGATGGTGGTGGTGATGGTGATGGTGGTGGTCATGATGGTGTTGGTGGTGGTGGTGATGGTGATGATGGTGATGGTGGTGGCGGTAATGGTGGTGGTGATGATGGTGATGGTGATGGTGGTGATGGTGGTGGTGATGGTGATGGTGGTGATGATGGTGATGGTGGTGGTGATGGTGATGGTGGTGACGGTGGTGGTGATGGTGGTGATGAGGTTGATTGTGACAGTGACTGATAGCAGCCTGTGCCATGGCCAGTGCCCTGATGCCCTCTAACCCCTAACCTTTTTCTGGCCCCTGCAGCCCCCCTGCAGGCACTCTACCTCGAAGTGGTTCCTATCATTGGCATCAACCAGGAGGTGACCCTCACAGCTGTGCTGCTGCCCTTGAACCCCAACCTCACCGTCTTCTACTGGTGGATTGGTCACAGCCTGCAGGTATGCTGGCCCCAGGCCCCTGGCAGTCCCTCCTTCCCACAGGCTCCCATCTGGGGTGGAGAGTGGGGCAGGCCCCACCCTCCATACTGGGCAGGACACAGTGTGTGACACCATGGAGGTGAGGAAAGCACACACCGACTCTTCCTTCACCCTGAGCATCTGTCCGGCCATGTCTGAGTGTGGTGGATGGGGCATGAATTGGGTCAGACCCTGCATTTTCCTAGGGAATTGGGTCAGACCCTGCATTTTCCAAGGGAAAGATATGGGAACATAGTAGGTGACCTAAGTTAGTGTGTGACAGGTGTCACAGGAAGGAGACAGGTGACGCGTCTGAAGGTTCCAGAAGAGATCAGGCCATTTCTAGTTATAGCATGGGAGTAGTCAGGGAAGCCTTCATGGAGGAGGGGGTCCCTGGGGCTGGACCCAACCTCAGAAGCCTCACCCAGGGCTGTGGGTTGTATCCTGTGGGCAGTGGGGAGCCAAGGGCAGATGCCTGGTAGGAGACCCTGAGGGCCTCTGCAGGTGAAGCTGCCCACCCTTAGGCCGGGGGGTGCCTCAAGACCCAAAGGGGGATCCTTCATTTATTCAGCAAACGGCAGCCCTTCACCGCCAAGCAGAAAGCCCCAAACAACAGCTGAGGTCCCAGACCGGTAGGGGCCCTGGGCTCCAGACTGTTTCCCTGGCATGAGGAGGGTCGAGGAAGGGGCTCGGGCTCCGGGTTCAAATGGCGACTCAGCCCCTTGCAGCCGAGCTCTTTGGGGCCGGTCGCTGCACCTCCCCAAGCCTCTGCCTCCCTGTCTACAAGGTCCGAGGTAATAGTGAGGCCCAATCGGATGTGTGTGCCCACCCCACAGGGTGGCTGCTGAGCTGGCCGCTGGGGTCCAAGGATGAAGGTCCCATAGCCCAGCTGAGTGTGGAGGGGGTGAGAAGGTGAAAGGGATCAGGGTGGAGGCCCTGCCTAGCAGCCGCCATGCGCCTTCGACACCATCCACGGAGGGGGGCTCGGAGCCTCTGGAGGGAAGGGTCACTGGGAGACAGTGTCTGTGCTGGGGAGCTCAGGAACGGGCGTCTCTGGGGGGCCCTCTCCATACCCCTGGGGGGCTCTCAGTGAGCACACTCAGTGAAGCCCTGGCCGCACACCGGGGCCAGCTCTCCAGCCCAGCCCTGACCCCCGCTCGTGCCCGCAGCCCCTGCTGTCCCTGGAGAACTCCGTGACAACGCGGTTTGGGGACACAGGGGACGTGCGCGTGACGGTGCAGGCTGCCTGCGGGACCTCCGTGCTGCAGGACTCCAAAGTGGTCCGCGTGCTGGGTGAGTTCCCCCCCTCCCACCCCCCGGGACAGGCAGCACAGCCCCTCCTTTTCAGGAGCTCAGGGTCGGGGGCAGGCGGTGTACATGCCACCGACGTCCTGGTCATCCCAGGCAGGGCCCAGCGGGGCAGAGGGGCCAGCAAACGCAGCTCTGATGCCCCCGGCCTTGCTGGCCTCCATTTCCCCATCTGTAAAATAAATACCGACAACTCCTATGTCCATGGCATTCACAGGCTCCACATGGCACAAATGAGGACGCAGCTGAGGGGCTTGACAAGGTCACCCAGCAGCAACAGAGCTGGGATTGGGCTCCGGGTCTGCCTGCCCACCGGGTGCCTGTCTTTAGCACCCCCGTTATCTGAGGGTTGTCACGTGATTGTATCACTTTTGTTGAGAGTCCTGCTCTGAATCCATGCCCCATTTGTTGGCTCGCTGGGGGCTCTGAGCCCCCCAGGAGACATTTACGATAGAAAATTAGTCCTGAGAATGGAAGAGACCCCCCACCCCTCACACCATGTTGCCCTCATCACCACACTGATAAACCTTCATTTTGCTTTAAGAACAGCCTCTCCTGTAGACAGCAGCCATCAGTTAAATATTTAGGGGACTGCCCTCAGCCATTCCTTCATTCACGAGCATGTGGGCAGCAGGCCCTGAGCCCAGAGCCTTGAAACAGTCATCTCCACCTGCACTGCATGCTCACACTTCACAGGGCACTTTTCCCTTGAGCTCCACGTCCCTGCAAAACCTCTTTCCATTTTACAAATCAAGAAACCAAGGCTCGGGAGGTAAGCGGAGAGATTGCAGTTCACTCTGAGACTCATGCTGCCGGGTCTTTTTTTTTTTTTTTTTTTTTTTAACCACCTGCTGCTTGTGGTTCTAGAATAGGTTTCTGAGTTGCAGACCCTGGGAAATGTGAGAGACAGAGAAGGTGGGGACTCTGCTCTCCAGGGACTCTTACTCTGGTGGGGGAACCAGCCCAGTCAAAGTCCATGGATCCCTGGGGGACGAGAAGTCAACGTCGTAGGGTGTGTATGTCCTTGTGAGTTGATGGGGCAAATCACACAGCAGGCTTGGCCCTCCCTCCGGGGCAGCACTGCTGTCCTCGTCATTGTCATCTTTGTTGTTGTTATTATTATTATTAAATGGCAGCCAGTGTAGTGGGCCCTGCCCGGGACAGTTGCTGGCACACACACTGGGAAGAATCTTGTTTTCTGAAAGTGGGCCACAGGATCCACACCCAGGGCCAGCCCTGGACCACCCAGGGGGTGTGACCACCGTCCTCAGAGGAAGCAGGGCCGGGTGCCCAGGACTGACCCACTCTCCCATCTCTGCCTCTTTCCAGATCAATTTCAGGTCATGCCTCTGCAGTTTTCCAAGGACCTGGACGCTCACAACCCCAACACCCCCGAGTGGAGGGAGGACATTGGCCTCGTGGTGTCCCGGCTCCTCTCCAAGGTGCCCCCAGCCCACCACTGGCAAAACCACCTGCCCACCTCTGGGTTGTGGGTGCCCCAGAGAAGCGGGGGCTGTGGAACCCCCAGGAGAGGGCAGGCGGGCTGCCCTGCAGTCCTGATGCTCTGTCCTTCACATCGGCTGACAGTGGTGCTTGGAAGCCATGTAGGGTCCTCTTACCTGGCCCTGGGGGACATGCAGCCAGACTGTCACCTTGCAGAGGAGGGACAGGACTGCATCTTCCATGCACATCTAGTGAGCACCAGCTGTTTGCACAAGACACAATTGCTGTTCTACAACAGAATCTCTTTAAAGGGATTTTCATTTACTCACTACGTTTCTCTTCTGGGCTGGATACTGGAGACAGAGAGATGAGTCAGTGTGATGGCTGCCCTCAGGGAGCTCACAGAAAGCAAAGGCAGTGCATCAGGGTGGGCATAGGGCACTCGAGGCCCTTGGGCCCCCAGTGGGAGAAAACCCAGCCCTCTAGAGTCATCCAAGGCTGTCACAGACTGAGGCCCACCCTGGCCATGCCTCCCTTTGGCCCATTAATAATTCGGGTAATATTGTCCTGGGTGTTGAAGGATGAATAGGAGTTTGCCAGATGAACATGCATGGAGTGGGACTTTCAGGAGACAGAGCTTTGTGGGTTGAGGGAGTTGCATGGCCAGGAGCCCTGACATTTGGGAGGACAGTAGCCAGGGAGGGGCCTGCTCACCTGGGCATGGTGGGAGGAATGAGCTGAAGGGGGCAGGCCTGGCTGAGCAGAGGCTGGGGTGGTGGCTACAGGCTGAGGGACCAGGAGAGCTGGGCTGCAGTAGGTAGAAGGCAGTGCCATAAGCTGCTGGGGCCATGACTCCAGGTGTACAGGGGTCAGGAATGGCCAAGACTCAGGCCACTCAGGGAGAGAGGGTATTCCTGGGTCCCTGGAGTGTGGCAGGGGACAGAGAAGGCCGGTGGATCAGAGTGGCTGTCTGTGTCCCCGCAGGAGACCAGCATCCCCGAGGAGCTGCTGGTGACCGTTGTAAAGCCGGGGCTGCCCACCTTGGCCGACCTGCACGTGCTTCTGCCCCCTCCCAGGCCCACGAGGAAGAGGAGCCTCATAAGTGACAAGGTATCTCCTGCGGCCACTGGGCCGGGTCCTCCCCACGCCACCGAGGGTTTGGTGGTGATTCCCGACAAGCACGGGGACCTCAGCCTCTCGTCATTGCGTAAAGGCTTATCTCTCACCAATCACTGTCCCTCCTCCCCCTTGTGGCTACCCCAAGATCACAATGGAGGGGGAGTGGGGGGGACCAGGGCATTGGGCAGGACCACCCCTTCAGGGGGATGCTCCACTTTCACTCCCATTTCATTGGCTAGAGCTGATCACACGGCCCCAGCCTCACTGCGAGGGGTGAGCACCGGCCAGGAGATCCTGGGCCACAGTTTCAGAGCATCCAACTAGGACGGGGAATCAAAAGATGAATGGGGCGGGGGGACTTCCCTCGTGGTCCAGCGGTTAAGACTTCACCTTCCAATGCAGGGGTTGGGGGTTTGATTTCTGGTCGGGGAGTTAAGATCCCACATGCCTCACGGCCAAAAAGCCAAAACATAAAACAGAAGCAACATTGTAACAAATTCAATATAGACTTTAAAAATGGTCCACATCAAAAAAAGGGAAGAACTTCACGCCCTCTAGGGCGGCTGTAATTCCGTACCAAGCAGACAGCAATGAGTGTGGACGAGGATACGGAGAAACTGACCCCTCATTCACTGCTGGCGGGAGTGGAAAATGGTGCAGCCACCGCGGAAACAGTCTTGGTTCTTTAAACAGTTAAACACAGAATTACAGAATGATGCAGCAGCCCCACCCCCGGGAGTGTACCAAAGAGAACTGAAAATGTATGTCGACACACACGTGTGTGCCTGAATGTTCATAGCCCCAAAGTGGAAACAACCCAAATGTCCTCCACAGATGAGTGGATAAGCAGAAGGTGGGCCATCCACACAGTGGAATATTATTCAGCCACCAAAAGGGATGAGATTCTGATCCAGGCTGCAACTTGGATGAACATTGGAAACATGATGTTAAGTGAAAGAAGATGGTCACAAAAAGCCACAAATTGTGTGATTCCACTCATATGAAATGTCCAGAATAGGGAAATCCACAGAGACAGAGCATTGCTGGGGGCTGGGGGCTGGGGGCTGGCGGCAGGGGAGTGACTGCTCACGGTTTTAGGGGTTTCCTTTGGGAGGAGGAAAATGTTCTGGAATTAGATAGTGGTGGTGGGCATGACTGTGAATATACTAAAAACCACTGAATTGTACACTTGAAGAAAGTAAATGTTATCTCAAGAAAAGATGAACCAGAACCACAGCCAAGCTCTGAGCTAATCGAGAAGACAGATGCTCATGCAGATGGTCTGGAAAGAG